AATGTTGAAGGTATGCTGTTCAGTCATGAATGGTGTTGTTTTTTTTTGGGTAATTGGGTGTGACTATTGCTTGAATACGGCGTGGTTGATCTGCGGGGTGAGGTGAGGATCAGGAAAAACCTCCAGAGCCAATAGTAATTGTTTGGCGTGTAGATGGAATTTTTTTCCAAAACCGTTTTCAGACTTTCCAGTAGAAGATAGAAATATTTGTCGTTTCGGACCAAGTGTTGTCTCATACTTAAAGGTTAAGATGAATGGATAAAAGGGAGGTTGATTGGCGAGTAGTTAAGGGAACTACTAGTTAAGGATAAATCTAACATTAGATTGCATGCAAGCATTGAACCTTCAGAAACCGTTTCCAGACTTTCCAGTATGTAACTGACTGCTGCCATTTTTCCACACTTTCGACAAGTACACAGTACTTATCGGTCAATCATTGCGTTGGCCTTTAAAAATCTTTTCTCGACATTGTTCTAGGTTGAATAGCTGTACACATGAGGTTGCAACTAATCTTGTATGTCCTACCCGATAGAACTAGCCTTCAAAAATATGCTGCTTTTGTCTGTGATTTTTTCTAGCCTTTAGTTTTTGTCTAGCTGTTTTTTTTTCGCCCCTAACTAAACGTGTCGTAATGAGAAAGCCGTTTTTGCCGCTATATTACGTGTAAATATGTAGTGTATGTGGGTTTGTTTACGAGTATTTGGTGTTGTCTGCTGTATTTTTGCTTTCTAGTCATTCAAGCCATCGCAGAAGTTACTATAGATCGCCTTTTCTTGGTACTAGACTGTTTGATATTTTGTTAAATGTCACCACTGTTGCAATCAATGAAGATTTTCGAGTCACATTGATTTTTATGTTTTTTTTTCTCGGTGATATCCATCAATACTGAATAATTTGAATTTGCCCAATTTCTGATGTTCACTAGAGTACAGGCGCAATATGCGTGGGGAGCGGTCGGAATCCGCGGCGAACCATTGTATTATGCCAATTTTTGGGTCGGTACAACTTTCCCCTTCCAAAAATCGCAGATATACCCCACCCTCTCATTTGGAACTCTTCTGCTATGACACAGGTCGGTAAAGGTCAACCTGGGTGCGAAGGTAGCACTAAAGAACTCACGTTGGCCGGATCACAAAATGCCGACGTGCGTCGGCGAGTTCACATGAGTTGATTGATCTCTCTACAGGCATTTCCAAACGAGACCCGTTCCGCAATCGTTGCGAAATAGTAAATTCCTCCAATTCGTGCGCTGATCCTTGAGATCAGGTCCTATTCCATTATTTTCAGCATGACAGTGTTAATATTCACTAAATAGTTAGGATTCCAAGGAATCCAATATGAAACGTATGCGGCAGCTTAGTCAATTTAAAAAGTCCTGCTGAATAGATGGCAAAATGGTGTCTTTGTTATTAACATATCTTATATAACTTAATAAAGAATCAACTCTTTTATGAATAATCACAAAATGTTCTCATTTCAGTCCCCACGTATTGCTCAGCTCCAAATAATACTAAGTCATGCCAAAGCCTTGGCGTATTTGGTAACTAAGTGTAAATGAAAATCTCGAAATCCGCCGCTGAAAAAATTCAACTATCCATCACAGACATGACTTTTCGACTAGCCTTTTATAACATTTTTGTATGTAAGCTAGTTGTTTCCAGAACGTTGAGTATCTCAAGAGCTCAGTCTCATGGAACCCTGAATAGGCGAAAATTTTAACCGCACGCATGACCTTTCCGAATTTTAGATGTGCGCGCGTTGATCAGCGTCGACGACGTTATGGAGGATAAAGCCCAGCCCTAGCACTTGGTCGCGAATTGCAGTCTTCTCGTTTTCTGCATGGAGTGAGTGTTGTGCTTGCAATTTTCATTTGTATTCTTTGCCTTCGTGGTAACCCTGGCCTATTTTCGACGCTTCAAGATATCTGGTTCAAAATTTGGAATGGCTCCACGATGAGTTATGTGAGGGCGAAGACGACTACTTTATTTTTGATTGCCCAGGGCAGATTGAACTGTACAGTCATTTACCTATCATGCGGCAACTGGTTGATGCGTTCAGGTACTTGATTACCAGTTTCTATTCTGTTTGATTCTATTTGTGAGGCACTCGTGTTTAGGGCGTGGGACTTCAACGTGTGCTCAGTTTTCCTGATTGATACTCACTTTGTGCTGGAGGCTGAGAAGTGAGTCATCCTTCCCAACTTTCAGGTTCCTTATCTTACATTGATCGTAAGCTCGCTGTTATGTCTGTCTTCTGACTCGTATGCTACATTTGCCTCTGATATGTTGCTGGAGCATCAACAAGAGTCATCGTTGAGGTTGTCTATGTAGTATTAGGCTGAGTTTGTCCCTAATGAGTGAGTGAAGGCTGAAATGTTCCATAACTAAAACTTCTATTTTGGTTCTGAAAAGGCCCAGATGAGCAAATAAGGACAACATTATGGTGGAAAGCTGATCTCGAGATGCGCTAGGTAGTGGCAGAGGAATCATTTCATATGCAGAAAGATTTCCTTGGGACGTTTTCGCAAAAACAGAGCTGGGATTTTCTTGACATATTCGCTGAGAAAGCTAAACCTTCATTCAGATCGAAGGTGGTGGATAAAAGGATGGGGCCAGTTATGGGTGGAAGATTGCCCTCTTAGATCGACTTTGCTAGTAGGTTAGGCGAGCTCTGAACATCTGATCTTGGAGCCATATTGGTTTCGGACTAGTCCAGTGTTGAGCACAGCGCCAGAAAATGCCATGTGAACGTAGCAACTCCGAAGTTCTTTGAATTCTCTTCAAAAATTCGGCCAACCCTTAAACTCCGTCCAAGAAATATGAAAGGCGCGTACGTTGCGGATCTGTGAATGAGCGCGACCCTGGCTGGTCATTGTGTGAGCTCATGGTAAGCCCTAGACCTTGAAATTCTGTAGAGCCTGCTTCCACGGGCACCACATAAACCCAGTCCTATTTTAACTCCCTCGAAATGGCTCAGTCTCTTTTTAGGTTCATCGCTGGTGCACTTACGGCTCTATCCGCAATGGTGGCAATTGAAACGCCATGTGTGAATGTGCTTACAAAGATGGATCTACTTTCAGAGAGGAACAAAGCTTTGGTATGGGTCACAATTTGTTCTGAAGAATTAAAGAATTAGCTTTCTCTTACACTCGTGCATATTATTATTGCTAA